ATAAGCTTAGAGAGAAAAGCAACTTGCAGCAGTGACAGAAAGAATTGGACTTGCATCTGGAATATACAGCTGCATCACCATACAGCCATTTACTTACATACTGTACAAAATTCATTCTCTAGCTACCTGGTTTTGTACGGTAATTCATCTTCAGTGGTTTTGAATCTAAAATTTTAAAAAATCACCTTGCAAGTTAATGTGAAGATTCAAGAAAAGGATTCATTCATGTTCCAGGGCATATACTATATGCACGATAGCCTCTGTCCTTGATAGTGTTGCTGATGCTTTGCGGTGGTAGGTGTGTGGGGTGCATGTAGGAGGCAATGTACCAACGTTTTCCAAAACCCAAATAGCAGATGGGTGACTAACATGATTCTGGCAATAATTCGGTATCTCTGCAAACTTTGTTTTTTCTTTATGTTCCAATTTTTTTCTATCATGGACTCAATCAGTGAATAATTGATCTTAGCGAACTCATAACATGCCTCAAGCAGGAGATGGTTGATATCATCTCACCCTCGCACTGAACTGAGTAGAACAGAACACCATCAAACCGAAACACAGCACAATGATTAATGACTAATGATCTGGAGTAAAGTAAGAAATGCTCTCCCCTACAAAGACGCTTTACCCTCAAGTCTGTTCTACTCACGATTACTCCGTAGAACAAAGAGAATGAATTTCTGAGACTGTGAATCTTGCATCAAAATATTTTGTAAACATAAAAATAGAATCTTTGAAAACATTTTACTATATAAGACCCATGACTGTTGAACTGTACTCCCACCCCAAGTGGCAGCTGGAATCATTCAAACTCCTGTTACATCCTTTCTATTATTGACAGCTTTAAAACATTGCCCAGAATATACTCTGACTCTTCTGTAGTCATTGGCTGTCAGTACATCAGTTTCCTACTTTCTCTTTAGCTTGACCTTAGTCAAAACAAACGATTTGAAACAAGAGAGGATTATGCAGAAAATTAAAGGGAGCCTTAGCTTATATATCCAGGTGAAGTTCCTTGTTCACTCAGGCATATTCTTCATGTCTGCCTGTTATTGAATTCAGAATGAGACCCAAAGAGTCTCCAAACTAAAAACCAAACTCGCTGCCTTCAGGTACGTTCTGCTCACTGTGACCCTGTAGAACCAACAGCTCTGTCCCTTTGGTCTTCTGAGGCTGTGAATCTCGCTGTGAGAGCAGACAACCCCATCTTGCTCCCGTGGAGTGGCTGGTAGATTTGAACTGCCAACCTATGGTTAGCGGCCCAATGCCGAACCCAGGAAACCCAGTTCCTTAGAAAAGGAAAAGTGGCTTGGGAGTCAGATCTAGTGTGGCATACTGACTCACTCTGTAGTAGTCCTATGGCTATTAACAGGCATTTCTTGCACGAAAGAACTCTTTTCACCCTCAGAATTGGAACCTGTGAAACAGACACAAGTTGGTTGTAATGAACACTACAGCCTCAACATTTTGAAACTTCAGGGACCCAGGACCAAATTCTGGTGACCCTGCCAACTATACAGCACTCATACGTACATGTTTTCTTTTCTGGATATGTCTGAGGCTTTACATCTTAGATTAATGATAAAATGTGAATAGAAAACAAGAAACTTAGAGGTTCTATATGCACATTTGTATGTTAAATAAAACTGCTTTAATGCAAGAAAAAAGAAGGCAATAAACATATGTAAAACATATGTTTTAAAACACCATACTAAGAAGTCAATATACAAATATTTTCATGGTATGTAATACAGTTTCAAAATTAGATACATTAATTTCACTGTTAGTATTAGAAAATGAAACACATACCATGAGTTGGCTGTTTGAGGTACTCTGTAGTTGAAGAGCCTGACATGTTTTCCTAAGTGGGGAAATGGAGGTAGCTGGTTAAATTTCCTAAGAATCTCTAGTTAATTGAGGTGAATGAGTCTTAAAATCTCAAAATACAAAATAATCACTGGGGGGGCTTGTAGGGGTTATCTGAACTCTCAATCTGATTTTAACTATATGCTAAGATTTTTAAATTGTAAAAAGGGGTTTAGAAGGGATAAAAGTATGATACTATACTAATATACGTGGTTTCTGTCAAGATAATAATATTAACAGAAACAATTTATTGAGAACTTCCTGAGCATCGGCCACTATACTTGTTATTAATATGAATTATCATACTTAATCCTCAATATTTAATGCTCTCAGGCTACATTATAAACTGTTTAGCAACACAAACTCTGTATATCATGAGAGTTGAATCTAATTGTCCCTGTTCTACTACTGTTTCAAAATCCCCAAATCATTTTCATTGATAATCAGTTGTCATCGTTGTGGGGTGTCGTTGAGGCAGTTCTGACTCAGAGTCAACCCTGTGTACAACAGAAGGAACATGGCCCAGTCCTGGGCCGTGTTCACAACTATTCTTGTGTTTGAGCCCATTGTTGCAGCCACTGTGTCAATCTTTCTTATCAAGGGCCTTCCTCTCATTCACTGTCCCCTCTATCACACATGATGACCTTCTCTCCCATAAACTTGGTTTTATTTTATTTTTTTTAAAACATTTT